GCAATAAGTATTATAAACTAGGTACAGCATGGTATAGCAGATCTCTAGAATTTATTCTTCTTGTATAACTGAAATATATACCTATTAAATAGCACCTCCCATTTCTCCTTCTCCTATTTTGCTCTGTTTTCAGAGATTGACTATTTCAGATACCTTATATAGGTGGAATCAAACAGTATTTCTGTGACTGGCTTATTTCACTTAGGATATCCTCAAGGTTCATCCACRTTGTCATAAATGGCAGGATTCCTTTCTATTTTAAGGTTCAACAGTATTCCATTGTAAGTGTATACCACATTGTTTATCCATTCAACCACGGATGGACATTTWGGTTGTTTCCACATCTTGGCTATATTGAATAATGCTACAATGAACACGGGCAAGCAAATGCCTCTTTGAAGATCCTGAAATGGATATTCAGCACTCTTACACTCAAACTGTCTGCCTAATGCTTTTAAAAGTTAAGTAAAAGCTGAACGATATTTTAAATAATGAGAGAAAAACTCAAAATCCTGCTCCCATCATAATGTTTTCCACTCCACATTTTTTATAGTCCTTCTCAGTTCTTATGTGAAAATATCTAACATATGGTTGTGATCATTACATAATACAATTTGAATCCTGCCTTTTATGTCTAGCCTAAATATTTCCACACATTTTTTTACTTTTTTGTGGTAGCAACAAAGTATTTCAAGATGGTCATAATAATGTAATGAATTGTTTTCCTTTGGTTGATATTTATAAGTGACCTCCTTTATATTCTCATTATAAATGTGAAATATGATATGGAAATAAATAAAAGGTGTCACAATGTCTTGGCAGCATTTCTTGAATTGTATTATTTGTAGGCATTAGTGGCTGTTTTCTAGCATTACCAGTGGGAGGGTGCTGCCAAAAAATTGCACTAGGTTTCAGTTACTTCTTGTGAAAAAGACAGCCAAATCCAATGTTCAAAAGAAGGCAAGAAAATAATAATGAAAGAAACAGAGGGTCCATTTGGAGTCAAATAGGGAAGTATAAAACAATCTGACTGTGCCTATTGAACTCATATCCTTTGATTGCTGGTTCTCTGTGGGGAGAGGTCAGCCAGTGGCACTTGTGAACAGGAGGCTCCAGACAAGAACTACCCCACAGCAGAAAAGCCAAGGAGATGATGGTGGGCACAAAATAAACTGTAAAGAGAATGCAGAAGTAATGATTWCTATTGTCACATCATGATCAGAGAGGAAACTTTCATTCTAAATAATTGAGCTGGAAGACAGAGTAAAGCTGATGGCTTGTATTAGGATAGAGAAAAGGGCAACTYAAATCAAGTCAACACAATTGGCCTTTGTTGAACATCTGCTCTATGATTAGCATTAATCTCAGGACACTGGATATTAAAAGGAACAAGCATGCCCTTGAAAAGCTCATTATCTTTGTGACAAAGGGCCCTGAGAACATGGAGTAGAAGAAAATAATACTTTAGGGGATAGAGTTTGGGGTAAGAGCTGTCAAGCTCCACAGAGGAGTGACATTTGATGTGAGTCTTGAAAAATGAGTAGGAATTTGCTCAGCTGACATAGGAAAAGGCATGAGCAAAGACTGTGGCAGAAGTCCTTGGTGTGTGCAGGGAACAAATTAGGCTGATCTAGCTAGTCATTTTTTTTTCAAACATATTTAAGAAGGGCCATTCTTTCAATTAAAATTCTATTTAGAACACCAACATATAAAATAGATAAAAGTTATATTTTATATTTTAAAAGTATTTTAGCATCTTAATTGTGAAGCATTTTCCTGTTACAAATGGAATCAATGGGAATATTAAAACTCTTCTGATAAAAAATTGCAACCAGGGGCTGGGGTTGTGGCTCTGCGGTGGAGTGCTCGCACGTGTGAGACCCTGGGTTCAATCCTCAGCACCACATACAAAAATAAACAAGTGAAATAAAGGTGTTGTGTCCAACTACAACTAAAAAATAAATATTTTTTTAAAAAAGAATACTTAAAAAATTGCAACTGTGGGGTTATATTTGATGGATTGCTTCTTATTTTCCATCTGTTCAGCTACAAGAATGTCAAGAAAATTCTGTTTCATACTGTAGTTTGCCCTAGACTTTTAGGGCATGTTTCAATTAATAAAGATCATAAGCTTCAGAGAAAAGTAGCAGGAAATGTTTGCTTCAATGGTTAAAAATCAATAACATCAACATCTCTTGTTGACATATATAAATGTCAGACAAGAATTACCAAAATTGGTCCTGAGCATCTTAAATAGGGAATATTCAACCTGTATATGCATTTACATATGGAAATGGAAAATATGACTTTCATAAAAAAGGAATTACCCAAATTAAAATTATCCTGTAAAACTATCTGTAGTATGTTATTATGAGTGTTCTATGTGCCGTTGAAAAAATACTATGCTGTGATGAGAAATCATGTTAAGAAGTATATGTGTGTGACCAGAACATCCAGATATTATATGTTTTCAAACTTAATCAAGTCAACATGCTGAACAATTTGGTAACCTTTAATATGTTAAAATCAGAGACAAATTATAATTCAGTGTACATGCTACTTCTTTGCTGGAGTTGAAGAAWAGGTTAAAAGAAATAAAAAAATAGTTAAAAGATAAATTAATCTAATTTCAAATGTTGAGGTCCTAAAGTACCTCTGCTCAGCCTTCATGGTTAGAGGGTACAGAGACCATATTTTAAAAAATCTTGGCTATGATCAGATGTTGGGCTTCAACTTGCAATTGATGAAGATATTTTGAAATAATTTAGAAAATGATGTGCGAAGACTGGACTGTGTTTGAAATGATAATTTAAAGATGGTTATATTTGAGGGAAAGGGACATTTATTTAGGAAGGGATTATAATAATCCAGATTAGAGGAACTGAAGCTGAGTTCTGAATTAGTGCAGAATTAGTGAAACTGGAAAATTGGAGTCAGAGTCAAAGCTATCTGAGAAAGTGGGACATGTAAAGATAATAGCTGTCTTTAATTCCATACAGTGCAGGGTTTGAATCCTGCCTAATGTTTTCCAGAGTATGAAAGAAGAGAAAGCATCTGATACGGTCTGAATATCTTCCCACCTCTGCAATCAGAAGTCGAAACCTAATCCCCAATGAGATAGTATTAAAAGTTAAAGCCATTAGAAGATGTTGAAGTCATGAGGGTTGTTTTTGTCAGTTTTTGTGTTGCTGTGACCAAAACACCTAACAAGAACAACTGAGAGGAGAAAAATTGGGGGCGCTCAGGGTTTCAGAGGACTCAGCCCATATTCAGCCAACTCCATTGCTCTGGGGCCAAGATAAGGCAGCACATCATGGGGGAAGGGCCCAGCAGAGGAAAGCTGCTCACTTATGGTAGGGTCAGGTGGAAGGGCGGGGGAGGGACCACAGGGAAGATGCAACCTTTCAGGGCAAGTCCCTGGTGATCCACCTCCTCCAGGCACTTCCCCCAACCCCCCACAGTTACCACCCAGTCAGTTCCTACAAACCAAGATGGGTTGATTAGGTGACAGCTCTCATGATCTAATCATTTTACCTCTTAATATTGCTGCATTAACAGGAGCTTTTGAGGGGATAGTCCATATCCAGAGTATAACAATGGTGGAGTCCTCATGAATGGAATCAGTGATATTATAAAAGAGGTGAGAAGAAGCTGTTTGCCCCTTCTGAAGTGTACAGACACAAAGAGGGTGCTCTCGATGAAGAATAGGTCTTCACCAGATACCTGTTAAAAGAAACTTTAGAAAAATTAAATTAAGCTGAGTTAATTTCAGCAAAGAGCAAGTCATGAATCAGGCAGCACTCTGAACCAGCAGTGGATCAGAGAGCTTCTCCAAGCAATGTGGGCAGGCACCATTTCTAGACAGAAAGTGGAAGAGCCACACAGAAACAGCTTGTTTGGTTACAGATCAGCATTTGTCTTTTTGGGGGTCATGGTGTGATGGGTCATTTGCCTCATGGGAAAATGGTCTGATCATTTGGCAGCCTTGATTGGCTTATTACCTTTGGTTGCTGTGATTGACTGGGATTCAGTTATCTGTCATGAGAATATATTCCTCAATTACACTACAGTTTTCTAGGTAAAAACTCAAAGTACACAGGTAGCTTTAGACCAAATTTAATTTAGTGTAGCACACTGAATCTATTGGTATCTTGACTTTCTAGTCTCTAGAACTTTGAGAAATAAATTTCTGTTTATGTTACCCTGACTAAGGTATTTTTTATTCTAGCAGCAAGAACAGATGGACAGCCTTTATGAAATAAATTCACAAGATATAATCTTTTAACATGCCCATAGTACGAACAAATACTGGCATAGATATTGTCCTGTATCTTGACATTCTGCAAGTTCTCTTTAACTATTTTACCATAGGGAACCACGTAACTAGGGAACAGCAGAACTTGGGATTTGATTAGTCTAGCTAATGAATCTATGGTGTTGTTTTTTTTAAATAATTTTATTTTAACATGTGATTTTGAAGTTGTTTTCATTATGTAAAAATTCAGAGGCACAGACAATTTGGATTATAAATCAGAGGTTGTGTCAGGGAGGAAGACCAGGAGAGCTGATTCCCTTTTATACCATATTAAGAAGTATAGACTTTGGCTCTCAAAGACAGTGGGAGAAAATATTGAAAGTACAATGCAATCAGATTTGAATGTATACTCAATCACTCTGGTATGTTTTGCTCCTGTAAGTTTCCATAGCATCTTAATTTTCACTTTCATTCCAGAAGTTGAGAATTCTCTGACTACCATGCGTTTTTTTTTTCTGATAAAACTACAATTTAAAAAATTCAAATAATTTTTTTTATCCATTCCTTGAACAAATATTAAGTACACATTATTGCTTCAAAAATCTATAAAAATAACAAGCTTATAAACTAGGCAAATTAAGGAATGATTTGCATTATAAAACAACACTTACATTTACAGACATGTAAAACTTCAGATTTATGTCTTTCAAAGTTACTGGAGGAAAATTGTTTTAAATAATTGTTTTAAGTAATTTGTTTTCCATTTATTAAAGGACCACTGTATAAAACAAAGCATGGATGTAGTTTTGTAACTTATTCAAAAGGCCTAGGTGAAAAACTCCTATTACTTGTTAAGCCAGTCAAACAACACTTGAAAAACAAGTCTTCAGATTATCCTGATTATCACTGGAAGAATAGACTGTTAACTAACTATAAGGTCAAGATGTCCTATCTTTCAATAATGAGAAATGTTAATGCATCATTGTTTATAATAAAAAAAATCTCTCAAGAAGAAAATTATTTACAATATAACTGACACACTGTTTGCATTCATCTGATAAAAAGGTGCCATGCACATATACAAACATATTATAACACAATACAAAATAAACTTCCCTCATTTCCTCATTGCTTGTCTGGGATCAGACCTTTTATTTAAAGATTCGGAATGTAATTCTCCCAGTTGTTTAAGAGTGTAGAAGGTAAGCCTTGCAAAACTCTACAGGGAAAAGTTTCCAGAATATATAGTTACCATAAACTGCCTTTCCAAGAAAAGGGCAAATGTTCTTATAGTCAGAGATTTAAAAGAAGTAGAATTTTACACATGGACTAAAATTATTATTATTAATTTTTGTGGAACTAGAAGTGATATTGGTACACAGCATTTTTTTTCTATAATTTGTTCAGGTTTAAGACACTCATACTGCTGAAAAAGAGGAAAATGAAGATATTGAGTCATCAAAAAATGTAGTCCAGTGTGTTCTAACCATACAGTAAGGCTGATTTTCTCAGGAGACTTAGTTATACAGAATACAGATTTAAATATGTGTCTTCCTCAGCCAGAAGCAATGGAGTGAGACCAGCCAAGAGCAAGTCATATGATGGTGGAGAGAATTGCCAATGCTTTTTTTTTTTTTTTTCCATTTCATGTGCCTGTGGAAGGGAAAATTGGAAAAGCAGACTCATTTGGAATGTTAGCTTTTTCACAACCTGTAAATTGCATTACAATAGCTGCTATATGCTGTATTAGGACTAATTATGCAACTTCAGTTCTAATTTTTGAATTTCCTCTTAATACAATTAATTGAAAATGTGTTGAAATATCCAACACTACTGTTATTTTCTCCAATTTAAATGGATAGTTGAACTTGGTTTTTCATTCCCAGATTGATTTTGATTAAAACCATAATATTCACAAGGAAAAAGAGTTCATAGTTAAAAGAATAGCATAAAATGCTTATATGGACAGACTCTATTTTTAAACTGGATTGTTCATTATCTTGGTATATTTTCCCAAGGAAGCTAGTCTCATTTGATTTTCTTGTGTGTTTGCAAAATGTTCAAAATTAACAGCCATATTCTCAGGACTTGGTCAGCCTTTAATCCCCTAAACAATTTATGGAGCTTTCACCTGATCTTTCCATTCTGCTGAATGCATAGGTGGTTCTGAAGAATACAGACTTGGCCCATGCCCTTAAGGAACTGGTCAAAAGATAAGATTTGAAGAGTATGTTTGTGCCATGCCAATCAACCATTGTAATTGGAATAAATTGAGTATGATGCCTAACATTTACTTTGTGCTCACAATGTATCAGAAGCTTTGCATGAATGACCTCATATAAACCTTTCACAGTTTAAGTATTATAAAGCAATTCTAATTTGGACCTGAGAATACAGGAGAGTTTAGGAGAGTTATGTAACAGGTTAAGATCAATCAAAGGGACACACACCTCTATGTCTGCATCTGTTATGTCTCTCTGGATTGCTGGGGCTCCACTGCCAGAAAGATCTTAAAACATGCAGACTTGGATAATGGGGAACAAGGGCCCAGTTATAATCTTGTCCTTCTGAAGGTCTGCCTGGTCACATCTCCTGACAACTTGTTCCCAGAACAAACTTACTTTGCACAAGCCAGGGCAATTAGTGGTGAAAAGGGGCTGAGAAATATCAAAATGGTAAGACTGTCCAGGCGGTGGAGTAGCTGCAGGTGTCTCGAGGGCAAGCTGGAAACCTGGGCCAAGTCTTATCCTGGACCCACAGGAAAGCAGACACCAGCGTCCGCGCAAAGCTAAAACGCTGACCTAAGGACTGCGGCAGCAAGTGAACGTCAACACCGCTGCCTCAAACGCACCGGGACCCCGGGCCCTTCCCCGCGACCCGCGCAGACTGTGCAAGTCTCCACTCTGGGCTGAGGCCCCTCCCAGCCTCACTTCTCTGATATCTGCAGCCGGCAATGGGAGGCGACGCGCAGGAGGCCCGGAGGACGTAAGCGACGCGTGGTCGAGCCTCCAGCCCGCCCCCCGCGCGCCTTCGCTTCTTTTTTTCCCGTGACGCCGCGGCGGCCCCAGCAACCAGCGTTTGCACACTCGCACGCGCGCTCCAGCCTGCTAAGTCCTCCCGCAGCGGGACCGGAAGATGGCGGCTATCAAACTCCTCTCCGGCGGGCTACGGCTCTGCGCCTCCACCCGCAGCTCCGGAGGCGCCTGGTCCAAGGTAAATTGCCGGTGAAGAGGAAGGCCACGCGCGGGAAGGACGCGGACGAAATCGGTGCCGGCGATTTCTCCTCTGCCCATCCCCACCCTGCATCTGCTGCGCGGTGCCCTGCGCGCAGAAGGGTTTCTGTCCTCGCCGCCTCTTGGGATGACCGCCTTTGCTGGGTTCTGCATCCGCTTCCCTGGTTGGGGGAGAGGAGGCCAAGCAGCGCGCGCGGAAAGGCTGACGAGGGGCGGGAGGAAGCTGGGCAGCGCCGCCGCTCCCTTCGGGCTTGCCCGCTTCCCTACCGGCGTGCGTCTCCAGCGCGCTGCCTCGAGTCCTCTGGGCGGCTGCCACCGCGCGAGGGGGGTGCCAATTTACAGAGTGAAGGGTGAAGGCAGTAGGGGTAGGTTTACACTCCTTCTAGAGGATCTTCTCGGGGTTTAGGCACCTCTAGAGGCCCGGAACCGGGACCCGGCTAACCTCCGCTGGCTCAAGTTCACAGCCAAGTGGGCGGATGCTGGGAGCGGCGGGGGTGGAATGCTTTTCTCCATCCCGCCTTCCCTATATGGCTGTGCCGCACCGCAGCGGTGGAAAAGGGAACCCGGACTGGAGCGCTTGCTGGGCGTCTAGCGGGCCAAGCTGGGAATCCAGTTGAGGTCTGGCTGAGACTCGCATATTATCTGCGGGCGCAGATGCCACTTCTTTGGAGATATCTGGGATCTGGATTATTAACTTTTTTTGTTTTCAAAGCTCTTTGAAAACCTCAACCCTTAACTGACAATTCTCCACCAAGTGGTTGGTATCTGGAGACAGTGTCACCAGCGGTTGATGTGTTTTTGCCCTGTGCACTGTCTGTCCCATTCTGTGAGCCCACGGTCCTGTGGAATTCGTGTCTGGAGTACTAGGAGCCAATTACTGGACCAGAACGCCAGGTCCAGGAGGGTGACTTATACTTTGGTCACTTAAGTAAACCTCAGGAACCTTTTCCTTGAACGGGAAGACGGAAGTAACACATTGAATAATAGCTCAAAGCTTGATAGTACTATATCTTGCACATGGTGTGCGATCACCCTGCATGCTCAGAACTCCCAGCTCACCTTATGGCTTATCCCTTTCCTGCATCCAATTCGAGAAAATTCAGAACTAATCTTTTGTAAGAAGGAATGATTTAGAACTGGATCACATCATTAAATCAATTATTCTTAGAAGGCATTTGGGTAATTGCAGGTAGCTTTGGATATGTAAAGTATGACTTAAAAGGGTACTTGACCTTCAGTCATCTTACTGCTAGTGCTAAAGCTGATGCAAAATCCAGGACACAGGGATACCCTTGAATCAAGGTCAGTACCATTCCCTCTTTTGGCAATCACTTGTTTGTCTATTATTTACTCACTTCCAGTTTTTCTCACCTTGAGTATAATCATTAAACCATTTCCCAAACCTAGCAAACCTTTTTTAGATGGATGAGCTACAATTTTAGTTTTGCTATACCTTACTGAAAATTTATATCAGAGTTAAAGCTTTCACCTTTCCTATGTGATTAGGTCCAACTCCTGCCTTCCAGAGTATCTCCCCACCCCCCCCACTCATTGCATTGAGGGCTTTTCCTGCATAGTTAGCATCTTCCATTTCTGTTAAACTCTAATACCTGTGTACTTGTTTAACTTTGGGATCTACTGTCTTCCTAATTCTCTATCTCCCTCAACATTACTACTCTGCAAAAACCAGACATTTAACACATGTTTAATGCATGGATGAGAGAACCCTGCAATTAACTTAAATATTAACCTTGAGAGTTTTTCTGCTAAACTTAACTTTAACAGGTTCAATGAGATAGTTAATTTTTTTTTTCTTAATAACAGTGGGCAAGTGGTGGGCAAGTGCAATGTCTCTGAACTTGAGCATGCAGTAAGATTTCCTGGAGCCTTTGTAAAACAGGTTTTTATGCCCTCCTCCAGAGTTTCAAATTTAGTAGGTTTTGGGTGGGGCCCCCTTGTTTGCATTCAACACACAGTACCTTCCCTTGGCAGTGATGCCATGTTCCCCCTGGCAAGCTTGTAAGGTATGCATATCCACCCACATATTATTGCCTTTTCCTTCTAACATGGTTCTCTTTACCTCTTTCTGAGGGCCTCCCCTTCCTATTTCTGCTTAACAAACCCTGATGCTGAAGTGGTCAAGGTCATTCTTTCTGTTTCATGATTTAATAGTAAYGTGTCAAGATTAGTATCACCTGGGTGTATCATTAAGATATATGTTTAAGAATAAAAAAAGTTACATGATTTGTGTATTTTCAGTGAGAGATCATCAAAAAAAAAGTGCATTTTTCACTAAATTCTGGAGTGCTGAAGGATAAGAAAAAGAGACATGGAATTGAGAGAGATAATGGTGRAAATGGTTGGAGAGGAAGATTATGGATTAAGAAGTCCTGATAATTAGATGAAAGTTAGGCTCAATGGTAAAGTAAGATTGGGAAGTTAGGAGTAAGAATTTGAAGAAAAGGATCAAGGGTGAAGGTGGAGAAGATGTTAAAAGAAGAAGTAGATTATGCAGAAAGTCTTTCACTATAAAAATTTTGATTATTTCTTCCACTGCATCATTCATTTATCATTATTTCCCTCCCTCAATTGTAATAACAGAAACTAGTGCTCACAACAGTGTTGCATTCTGCTGAAGGCAGGAGAGTGAGAAAGCAAAATGAAATGGTTTCGGTGAACATGAAAGAAGACCTGAGTGAAAAATGTCATCCACAGAATAAATAGATGTCAAAACTGTGCATTTCATTCTTTATTCTTTTGAGTAGTCTCAGCAAACTTGAAGGTTGTTTATTTTTTTTGGTAGCAGCTGGTACATGTTGTTTTTTTTTTTTAATTTTTAACATCATCGTATTCACATATAAAATATCCTAGAAGGGAGAGGTTAGTTTAGAAGGAGCTTAAAGCTGCTCTTTGAATTTGGTTATCTTAAAAAAAGGTAGATATTATATCAAACAGATTCTTTCCATGTAGCCTAATTTAGAAGGTGTTGGCACTGACACAGATATTTCTTCACTCACAGGGAGTGTGGGTGGAGAATGGGAGCAAGGGAGGAAATCAGTGGAGAGAACAAACCTAAAACCCTCCTCCAGGGAGCTGCTCTAAGCAGATTTCTGTCTTGAAGAGCTTCAGTGGCACACCCAACCCAGTCCTTTTGCTTCCTCTTTGCCCCACTGTCTGCATTCGCACTGCTGTCTTGCCCAGCCATCTCTGAATATCCAGACTCCCAGACTTGATGAAAAATAAAATGAACATGTTCCTGGGTGCAGAGGTGCACACTTGTAGTCCCAGTTACTCTGGAGGCTGAGGTGGGAGAAATCGCTTGAGATCAGAAGTTCCAGACTACTAGCCTGGGCAACAACAGCAAGACCTTTCCTCCAGAAAAAAAGGAGAAGAAAGGAGAGGAGAGGAGGGCAAGGGAGGAAGTTAAAGTGATCTCAAAGCTAGGACCCTTTTTTTTTTCTTTAATGCTTAACAAAGATAACATGGATTAATTTACTGTGTTATGGATCACATTAAAAATATTGTGTGTAATCAGTGATGCGTGTGTGTGTGTGTGTGTGTGTGTGTAAGGCAGAGTGGCAAGGTTAAAAATTATATTAAACTACAATAAATGACAAATTGATCTTCCTCTCTTGGTGGGGAATGGAGAAAAGGTGGCATTCCCCAAAGGAAGCTAACATCTAGGTATCTTGTGTTCTCCAGGCACAGAACTTGTGTATAGATTCTTAACTTAACCTCACTCAATCCATGCGACACAATTATCATCTTTTTGTAAAATCAAGTAATTAATATTCTTTTTAAAAATTTTTCTGTAGTTGTAGATTGACCCAATACCTTTATGTTATTTGTTTATTTTTATGTGGTGCTGAGGTTGAACCATGTGCCTCATGCAAGCTGGGCACGCACTCTGCTGCTGAGCTACAGCCCCGGCCCTAATTTATATTCTTGATCATTGCCATTCTGATAGGAGTGAAATGAAATCTCAATGTAGTTTTGATTTTCATTTTCCTAATTACTAGAGATGGTGAACATTTTTTCATGTATTTGTTGGCCGTTTGTATTTCTTCTTTTGAGAAGTGTCTGTTTAGTTCTTTTGGCCATTTATTGAGTTATTGGTTTTTTTGGTGTCAAGTTTTTTGAGTCTTTGTGCATTCTGAATATTAAAGTCCTCTATGAGGAGCCGGTGGCAAGGATCTTGTCCTATTCTGTAGGCTCTCTCTTCATACTCTTAAATGTTTCCTTTGCTGTGAAGAAGCTTTTTACTTTGATGCCATCCCTCTTATTGATTTTTTATTTTATTTCTTGTGCTTTGGGAGTATTGTTAAGGAAGTCAGTTCTCATGTCAACATGCTGGTGTGTTAGGCCTACATTTTCTTCTATCAGGTACACAGTTTCTGCTATAATTCCTAGGTCTGTGATACACTTTGAGTTGAGTTTGTGTAGGGTGATAGGGGTCAGATTTCATAAATGCTGGTGAGAATATGCAAAAAAAGGTACACTCATACATTGTTGGTGGGACTGCAGATTAGTGCAACTATTCTGGAAAGTAGTATGGAGATTCCTCAAAAAACTAGGAATGGGCTGGGTGTGATGGCACATGTCTGTAACTTGGGAGGCTGAGGCAGGAGGATTGCAAGTTCAAAGCCAGCCTCAGCAACTTAGCAAGACCCCAGCAAACTTAGTGAGACCCTGTGTCAAAATAAAAAACAAAAAGGGTTAGGGATGTGGCACAGTGGTTAAGCATCTCTGGGTTCAATCCCCAATACAACAAACAAACAAACAGACAAGCAAGGAATGGAACTACCATATGACCCAGGCACCCACTCCTTTGTGTATATCCAAAAAATTTAAAATCAGCATACTTTGGGAATACAGCTACATCAGTGTTTATAGCAACACAATTTATAATAGCTGATCTATGGAACCAACATAGGTGCTCTTCAGTATATGAATGGATACAGAAAATGTGAGGCGTGCGCACACACACACACACATACACACACACACCCATACACACACGATGGTGTATTACTTAACCATAAACAAGAAGGAACTTACAGTATTAGCTAGTAAATGGATGGAACTGGAGACTATCATGCTAAGTGAAATAAGCCAGTCCTAAAAAGTTAAAGGTTGAATGTTTTCTCTGTATGTTGAAGCTAATCCAAAATGGGGAGTAGGGGGTGAGAAAGAAAGAAGGAAAAAAAAAACAAAAGGAAGAGGAAATTCCATCAAAACAGAGGAAAGATCAGTTAAGGAGACAAAGGAATTAGGGGGAGGAAGGAGGGATGGAATAAGGGAAGAACAGTGAAATGAATTTTCATTATATATATACATGGAATAGACCACAGTGAGTCTCAACTTAAGTATATCCACAAGACGCTAATTAAAAGAAAAACTATAAATAAGTTACAGAAGTATCAGTAGAGTGGGGAGAGGAGGGTAAGTCTGGCGGGGGACTGATTTAGAGCCAGTTATATTCCATGCTTTTGTGATTATGTCCAAATGAATCCTAATGTTATATATAGCAAAAAATAAATAACATAAAGAAAGTTTTCGACAGCATTTTTCAAAGCTGATTTAAGGCATAAATCTACAAATCTAAACAATGAATCTAATGCTAGAAAAAAATTTTAAATAAATAAATATCAAGACCTGTGAATATAGCTCAGAGCACTTGCTTAGCCTGCATAAGGCCCTGGATTTGATCCACACCACTGAAGCAATACATAAGTTAAAAGCAAAATGCTTAGATATAACTAGTGAAAGTAGAGATGACCTAAGAGAAGAAATTAAAATCAGTTTGAAAAAAGACTGAAAACATAAAAGAGCAACAGTTAGAATGGCAACTGATAGCTACAACCACTCAGTACAAGGAGAAAGTCTATTACATTTTCAGTGTGCTAAAGAAAATTACTGTCAACTTGAAATTTTAGTCCCAGTGAAAAATGACTTTACCAGTATAGTAGAGAAAAGAAAACGGGGAGGGAGAGTGGATGGAAAGGAGAAGTACTAGGGACTGAACTGGAGCAAATTATATTTCATGCTTGTATATTTATGTCAAAATGAACCCTAATATTATGTCTAATTATAATGCACTAAAAAATCAAAAATAAAAAAGTGAAGGAAAAAAGTAATTTGCTCTGGTCTGTACAGTTGTGACTGTGCTGGGTCTTGACACAGATTATTTTCATCCTAGGAATGTAGTCTTCTAGTTTACAATGTCTCCCAAACTAGGTGGTTAGTTTTGTTGTTTTGTTTTGTTTTGGTACCAGAGATTGAACCCAGGTATTAACCACTGAGCCACATCCTTGGCCTTTTTGTTTTTTATTTTGAGACAGGGTCTCACTAAGTTGCTTAGGGCCTTGCTAAATTGCTGAGGCTGGCTTTGAACTTGTGATCCTCCTGCCTCAGCCTCCTAACTTGCTAGGATTGTAGGCATGCACCACCATGTCCACATCCTCAGTCTTTTTTTTTTTTTTTTTTTTTTTTTAATATATTTTATTTAAAGACAGGGTCGTGCCAAGTTGCTTAGGGCTTTGCTAAGTTGCTAAGGCTGGCTTTGGACTTGTGATCCTCCTGCTTCAGCCTCCTGAGCCACTGGGATTATAGGCATGTGCCATTGTGTCTGGCTTGATGGTTTGTTTTTTCAGTATAAGACTATTGTAGTGAAAGTTGGTTTCTCGGTAAATAGTAAATAGATGTCAAATGTCAATATAGCATCTAACAGATGTCAGTAAATACTCTTAACTGAATGAATAATGAAAAAACAAATACACTTGAGTGCCTGTAGGGTCTTCATTATCTTGAGCCCTTGTCACAGTCCCTGGAGACTTGCCACTCTTACTGCTTTTAACTTTTGGTTATCCATGTAAGCATACCATTTTGTTCCATTCTCTTTTCTTTTAAGGTGCTGGGGATGGAACCCAGGGCCTCCAGCATGCTAGACAAGTGCTCTACCACTGGCTACACTTCTAGCCCAACTTACATCTTTTTAAAAATAATTCTGAGGGTTTTTTTTTTTTTTAGGTGGGAAAAGTAGGGTAAGCTGCTGGATAATTTCTGACTGTCATGAAAATACCAGTTCTCAGCCGAAAACAAAGGAACAGGATTCTTGCCAGGTCTGTGGTTATGTGTTTTTGTTTCTGTTGGTGAATCTGTAAAGTCTCTCTGAGTATATGGTGGAACTGAGTTTTCTTCCATGTTACTCTCTAAGGGACGCAAGTTTCTCCCTCTATAGAAACATGGTTCACTTCCCACCCCATTTGAATGTTGACAATTTTTTTTTTTTAATTTTTCTTCCCCTTTCTGCTGAGGTCTGGACTATTCACTCTCAGGTAGAGATAATGACAGAAGAGTTACAGATGAAAAAATAGGATACTCATAGAGATTTGTTGTGTGTAAATAATGAAGTATAAGTAGAGTACAATCAAGTCTTTCAGTAAACATAAAAAGGAGCATAGTGTGGTAGAAGCACCCAGTGATAGGAGGCCCAAACTTTCCATCCGTTCTTGGAAGATCTTTCTAAGCTTCAGAAACTGGACCTATACAGTGAGTTGGTTGGATTAGATATCTGTGTTTTCTTTCTTTCTTTCTTTCTTTTTTTTTTTTTTCTGGGAGAATTATTCTCAGCTTTATTTTGCAGTCAACCTGTAGCCTGTTTATTCATTCCATCAAATTTTTAATTTCTAAGACTAAAATTAATTTCTAAGACTGGTGTGTTTGTGTGCATTTAAAATGGAAGAAATGATTCCTTGCTGTTTGAGGGCAGGGAAAAAAATAGAAAATTCTTTATGGCTCCAGCCACTTCCCTTCAGCCTCTGCCTCCACTTACATTCCTGGGTCTGGGCAGGATGCCAATTTATACACTCTCCTCACCTGACCTTGATCAAAATGGAAGTTCAAAGGGACAGAAGTCATGTGTGTGACCGCTGAGTTCTCTTTCTCATCTGACTTTCTCAGTATAATTCTCTTTAATAGTCCTTTGTGCTAATTGCTGCTTTTCATAAGGATGTTTGTTAGAGGAAGAAAAGAACTGTAGACACTCATTATGCATTGTCCTTGACCACTTGGTCCCCCTGTCTGGTGGACTTTTAGGAAGTGATGTGGGTGTGCACTTTCAGATGGGCTTGCTAAGGTGGCAGACATCAAGATTCAGGTATTAGTTCCTCTCCTCCCTTTCTTTTCAGGTTGCTGTATGGTGAGAGGAAAGGAGGAATAATGTTGACTATGAGTGATTGGTTGCCACAGACTGTTTCCTCATATCAGTTGTCTCTATCATACATGAAATACAAAGAAAAATATAGTTTATAACTGATTGTCTATGAATGCCCACTAGCTGACTCATTTAGGACCTGTATTAGCCTATTTTCTGTTGCAATAGCAAAATATCCCAGACTGGTTAATTTATAAAGGAAATAAGTTTATTTTGCTCACTGTTCCAGTAGCTAGAAATCCAGGACCGGGTGACTGCCTCTGATGAGGGCCTTGTGGTGCCTCATAACTTGGAGGAGAAGTGGAAGGGCAAGCTGGTGCATGCAGAAGAGTCAAAGCCAAAGGTGCAATCTTACTTCACAACAACTGCTCTTGTAGTAACAACTCCAGTCCTGTGAGAATGAGAGCTCACTCCTGTGAGAATTGACCCAGTCCCTGAAGAGCAGCATTAATCTTTTGATGAGGATCCAAACGCCTCTTAAAATTCCCATCACCTCTCAACACTGTTACATTGGGAACCAAACAAATCTCAGCATGAGTTTTGGAGGTGACAAACCATCTACAACATTTCATAGCAGGACTAAGTCATGCATTGTGTAAGGGTGACTAGCCTTCCGTGTAGCTRATACTTTGATATTTTTCTACAACATCCACAAGCTACCCCGTAGGGTGATAAGACATTCTGTGTACTGTTCTTTACTTGTCCCTATTCCTATTGTAGGCACTCTCTGGCACTTAAGATTGGATCAGAAGCTTAACTCTGTGGGTATTTTTAATTGACAAGTGAAAATACATAAATTTTGCATTCATTGTGCATAATGATGCATTATCTCATTGTATATCTAAAAGCTGAATTGCTATATATGCAAGTAAAGATGCATATCTAAAAGATTATTCACTTAATTTTTTTTTTTTAATATTTCAGGGAAGTGTGTGCTACTTCTCTATTAGTACTCGTCGCCATACCAAATTTTATACAGATCCAGTAGAAGCTGTAAAAGATATCCCTGATGGGGCAACCGTTCTGGTTGGTGGTGAGTAATAATACTGTTTTCCTTTTCATGGTAATTAGTCCTTATGTTTCTAATGAAGCAGGAAAATCTCAGGGTCAAAGCTGTGTAGATAAGAAGTGCCAGTTCTTTTATTACTTAGTTATTATTCATTTACTATTTTTATTTATTTGTGCACATATAGTATTTTACTTTATTACCATGTCCCATCCTGAAAGTCTGGGGCTCTATTATGGTGCAAAACATTTGAATCTAGTTATTTGCTTAGTAGATGTGATAATGTGCTTTGCCTTTTTTTTTTTAATTTTTTATTAAGAAGAATAACAGACATTTCCCTAAAAGAACATTATTCTCTTCACAAATTATTTACTTTTGGGTTCATCGTAGGTTTTGGGCTCTGCGGAATTCCAGAGAATCTTATAGCAGCTTTATTAAAGACTGGAGTTAGAGGATTAACTGCAGTCAGCAATAATGCAGGGTAAGTATGAATTTTTATAATAATTGGCTTGGAAGAAATGGAAATTATTAATAATATTTTGATGGAGTTTATCAGTGAAATTAAAATTTCCTCCAAGAGCAGTATGTCCAAACATCAAAACATAGTGTAACAGGGTCAGGAGTGGAGGTTACATTTATTCGAATATTTTTGGTACCATCCTTCATAATAAATATAATATAAATATATAGATTAAGATTTTCTGTCTTAGTCTGATGTGCTTTTATTTTTCTAAATTTATATTATCGATGTTAGAATAAATATTTTCATAATGACACTTGCACTTCAGAATTTAAAGATGGTCCTTTGTGTACTCTGTTATTGTAAATTACTATTTATATAGCAGAGGAGACATCAATTTGAAATTGGTTTAAGTTATTCTTTTGCTATACACCATTTCTTGAGATACTATGTAAAAGAATATGTAAAGAATATGTGAATCGGCTGAGGTTGTGACTCACCAGTAGAGTGCTCGCCTAGCATGTGCGAGGCCCTGGGGGTTCGATCCTCAGCACCACATAAAAATAAATAAATAAAATAAAGGTACTGTGTTCATCTACAACTAAAAAAAAAAAAAAATCTGAATCACAAGAATGTCACTGGTCTTGATGGAAGATGCAGTACATGTAGCCAGCACTTAAGGCGGTAGGATTCCATTTCAAAATGGTTAATGATAAGCCATAATTATAATAAAGTCATGCTCATTTAGGTACATTTAGCTGATAGAAAAATCTACTTGTATACAGAAATAGTAAAGCATCCCTTTTCAACAATGAAGGAAAGACTTTAAAGATATTTAAAATATTAAAAATGAGCCAAATTGACAACTTAGCCTATTATTATAACTGCACTCCAAAACAAACAATACAGATTACTTAGGGAATAAAACGGATGCTGTATTTGTTCTCATGGCTCCTTTTCTGAGTTTGTTCATGCTGTTTTGTCAGAGAGCCTCTCTTTCCTCTGCCCTGCCTGTGCACTTCCTCCTTTTTCAGGATTCACTCAAGTTACACATCTTTGAGGGAGCCTTACCCCACTACAGAAAGCCTCCAGTCTTGACTGATGTTGCCTTTTCTGAATTCCCTTAGAGGCTTTGCCCTTTCTTGGTATACTAAATTGTACCTATTTGATATATGTTATGTCCTGATCCTGCTACTTGCAGTAGTTTTGTATTCCCTGCTGTGCTTAGCTTGTGAATCTGACTCATGGCATATTTGAGGTGGACAGAATTGTAGAGATTATTTGTTCAGTTCCCTCATGTATCATAGGAAACCCCTTTGTAAATTGAGAAGTAACTTGTTCATGATTACTTTTTTTTTTCCTTAGACAACCCCCATGCTCTTTGATGTGACTTATATTTGTTATAAATACTTTTCTCTTTTTTTTTTTTTTTTGTTTCCCTGCAGTGGTAGGGATTGAACCCAGGGCCTCATATATGCTAGGCAAGTGCTATAGCCCTGAACTACATTCCCATCCCATAAATACTCTTGTTTATCCTTACTTGGTTGGGTTTTCCAGATAGCTCCAAGCTTACAAGGGATACTATAGATCAATAAACAGCCTGCATTGCTTAATAGGGATGTTCTGAGAAATATGTCATTCATTATGAGGACATCATAGAATATACCTACACAAACTTAAGATGCCTGTGATGTCACTAAGTGATGTACCCTTATAGAACCATCATGGTATATGCTCTCTGTTAGTGTGTAACTATAAATTTTGGATGCAAACTAGATGTTGAACGCAAAGGTGATACTTTGCAAATCCTTATTGACAGTTGATTCTCTTAATTAGGAGGGGTTAAATCCTAGAGGTCTATAACAATACGACCTTGCTTTGCCCTCCAGTTAGATAACTGAAGCAAACTAAATCATGCTTCACTGGAGAATCATTGACATGGTTTGACTTGTTGGGAAAATGGAAAGAACTTGGAATTAGAAGTAGTAATTTTCTCATTTGTAAGGAGCTCACTTATAGAAAGACCTACCTGAAGTGGAAGTCTTTCTAAATCTCAGGCTTCCTGATTTTCTGTTTTTGTTGTTTTTAGTAAACAGTGAGACTTGTCCTAAGATGTCATTTACCTTGGTTTGAAGTATTAACTATTAGACCTTGATGAGATAAATCCTTCTTTAGGATCACTAGTTGTACTAATACTTTGATATGGGTTAATTAAAAAGGTAGGAATAATCGACAATGTGATTTTCATTGATTTTTGGAGAATTTTCAGTTATAAGCCAGTGGGAATCAAAAGTTCACAATAAACTATGTGTCAACTAGTTAAGTCACAGAGCCAGTGGAAGCATGGGTGTGTTTTATTCGATGTGCTCATTTCTCATCGCAGTAGTTTTTCAGTCTACAGTTCAGGAAGGGTGTGGTATAGATAACCCCATTGGCAGCCCCTCTTACTTATGGAAGGCTAATCAGTACTATCTCACGATATTATGTTCTTGTACTTGTGATTACTTCTATAGAGTTTTATACTAGTCAGTTCTATACTATAGGGATTTTTTTTTGAGGGCCCAGTTAGCTGTCTTTCACTCTAAATAAACTTTTTGGTTCTGTACCAATGACTTTGAACCTAAAGATAGAGGTGTGTGGCCCCTTTGCTGTTTCTCTTCTTCCCTTTTTGTTGATGCAGCTGCAGCTGTGAAAAACTTAATAGGTACCTTGGATGATTATGAGCATTCTCCAGGACTTTTTTTTTTTTTCTGGGAAGGATTAACTACTTCCTGGAATGTGTACTTGAACTTCTGTGCTTGGCTCCCTGGTCCCATAAAACCATGACATTAACTAACCTTATATTCAAGTACAGCTTTTTCTTTTAATACTTCTGATGTTATCAGAGTAAGCATAAATTGTATAATTGAGACTGAAATATATCTATAAAGTGAAAAGTAAACAAGAGGAAAACAGTTTGGTAATGGCCACACCTTTATTTTTATTGGAGTTTTATTTTGACAAGGGTTGCCAGTTAATGAAATTTCAGAAAATGAAATTCAGTAAATTAAATTTCAGATTCAGAAAAGGAGTATAATTGCAGAACATTAATTTATTCCATGCCCTATCTTTTTGCTTTACATTAGTCTATCTCTTTAAGGAATTATTGACTTCTTCTTTTAACCACTGAAATGTGTGAAACCCCAGTTTATTGTGCTGCAGGGAAAACAGATCTTTCTCTTTAGTTATTCTAGGAAAATGCTGGCTACCGAGGGCAGATAGCATAATCTAACATCGGCATTATGTTTAGTATCAAAGAGCTGTGAGATGCTCTTATATACAAATTTCTCTACTAGAAACCATATAGTCCTCATTTCCAAAAGGTCACATATGTTTTCTCTTTTTATAGTGTGAGCTCTTAAAGGAAAGGGACTTGCCTTACTCATTTTTTATCATGAGAGTCTGATGTATTTGCTGGATTTGTAAACTGGGAAGCATGTGACAAGGTATTCACTTTCATTGTAAGCTATCTAACAGCACTTTTCAAGGTATGAAAACTGACTTTTTATCTGGTCCAGTGGTAGCTTGGGCTAAGCATCTCAGGCACTGCTTGATTGCTGTGCTAGGACGTGAGTCTAAAAACAAAGCAAAGGCCAAATACACAATGTTCCCCAGAGCCAAGATCAACAAATACAGAGAGGTCATCTTTAAATAGAGCCAATTCAAATATGTAATGTGGTAAAAAGCCAAACAGGAGTAAAAAGAGTAGTTAGAAAAATTCCCAGGTCAGTGAATGACCAGCTGTATTCTGGTTTCTAGAATGAAACTGTAGACTTTGGAGGAGGTTTCAGAAATTTAAAACTATAGAACACAAATGGGCCAGATGTGTCTTCATGGGTTATTTTATGGTTATGACTTTATTAGTCAGCTCCAGATAAGATTATCAGTACTCTCAATCTTGGGTAATTGAGGAGTTTACCAAAGAGAACTTTTTTTTCTTTTCTTTCTTTTTAATTTTTTTTTTTTTTAGTTATAGATGGACATACTACCTTTAATTACTTATTTATTTTTATGTGGTGCTGAGGGTTGAACCCAGTGCCTCATGTGTACTAGGTGAGCGCTCTACCACTAAGCCATAACCCCAGCCCTTTTTCTTTTCTTTTTATTAGAGCAGCATAATTGTACATCATATTTGGGTTCATTTTGACAAAATCATACATGCAAGGAATTAGATTTTAATCCTCTTTCATCTCCACTATTCCTCCATCCTCCCTCCCTACCAAGTGTACTTCATTTTTATTGTATCAGATTGCAGTGTGATGAGTAAGGGGATTTACTTAAAAGATAATACAATAACTTTTTTGACTGAATTAAAAAGCTATTCAATTTATTAAAATCAGACATATTCTCCTTGGAAAATTATTATATCTCTGTATCTCTTTATTTTTCTGTAGTTATCTTTCTGGCTGTATTTGTCTATCCTCAATTATATGTGTGTGTGTGTGTGTGTGTGTGTGTGTGTGTGTGTGTCTGTGAGTGTGTGTGTATGTGTGTGTGTGTGTGTGTCTACATATAGATAGATGCTCTTACAAAGTTTTTCTTTTGTTACGTTATTTCCTAAGACAAAATGGGTGAGAGAATACTAAAGTTGTTAATTTTTTTTTTACCATTCAAGGTGTTTACATTATACCAAAAATCATGCATGATTTAAGAATTTAAATTCCACCAATAAATTTTTTCATATAAATAGGAAAAACAAACTCACTCTTGGGTTTAGTAACAAAGAAGTGGCGTTACCATTAGCCCTGACATAGATGCAGTGAAGGCGGGAAGGAGCCTCTGTCAGTATTTGTAAGAAAGCTTTGTGTAGCAAGCTGTCCAGCTTGCTGTAATGTGTGAGAAGAGGTAAATCCTGCATCTTGTTCTTTCACCACCCACTTCAGCCATCCTGGTGGTGCCTCCCGTTGGCTGAGCCCAGTCAGAAGTCAGTGGCAAGGGAGGCTCATGAAGTTTGCAGGTCTGTCCCAGCTCAGAGCAGCCTG